AGAGAGATATCCCTGCTTTTCCTCTTTCTGTTTTTCCCTTGATTTCCTCTACTTTTGTAAAGGGGGAGATTTTCTCTTAGTTACATTTAGTTGGAGAGAAGAGAGCATTGTTGCCGTTATTTAATTTAAATAAAGTAAAACATTAGCTGGATCTAAAATTACAAGAGAAAAATGTGGAAAGTCCTCCCCTTTGTGATCAAGCAGTATATATACTCAACACTTCCAGACTTCAAGGAGAGTTCAAATTCATTTTCTCATGTGGTATAACCCAGCCCTGCGTCTCTTTGCATTGCAGGGTTAAAGGATTGCCAAATATCCTTTCAAGACTAGACATGTAGTTTTCATACTCCATTGTTACTTAGAACATCCAGCCACATGCCTTTTCTTCTAAGTGGAGAGCAGCTAAGTAAATAAAATCGGAACTATCTTGAGTCTAAAGCTGAACCAAGTAAAGTGCTGCACTTTTGGGAAACTGTGCTTTCTGAACTCCTGAATGATGAAAGAAGAGCAAGATAAAGGGCTCTTTTTAAAGACTAAGTAGGTGAACTGACTGTACTAGTTTCCTAGGATTGCCCTGCTTTTAAGCATAGAATGTTTCCCATCCTGGGAAACTCCTCAGTCTTGTGCAAACTGGGACATTGGGTCACCTTACAATAAAGACTTTACTAAGTTGCAAATGACAAAGTTAAAATTCAGTGGAAAAAAATACTCACATGTTTTTTAGAATTATGCACTTTAATGTAGGTAGAGTCATATAAGTGGAAAAAGCATAGTGACTAAGTGCTGTCAAAAGAAGCTATTTGTAACTGGGCAAATCCTAGCCAGTTTACCCATGTAATTAGAGTGGGTCTTCGGTAGCTCTTCATCTAATTGCAAACTTGATTCCTAGAAGGAAATAATTAGTCTTTACAGGGCTCTTTGAAAACCCCAAACTTTTCGTAACACCAAATGTCCTACAGGCCAAGAAAAAATAAACTTTCCTAAGGAAGTTTAACATTTTTGGTGATGGGAAGTCAAGGAAGGAGAAAGTGTGAGATGATCTTTTACAGATCAAGATTGGTAACCTTGGTGGGGATGGAATCCAGATTCCTGGGCCCAGAGAGGGAACCAGTGGAGAAGAACCAGATCACCTTGGACAACCCATGTAAGTAAGGTATTCTACAGGGAAAGGCAATAAGGAAATGAGATTGTAACTAGGGTTTAGGATCAAGAGAGAAATATGTCAAGATGGAGAAGAGTTGTGTATGTTAAAGATGGACCAAAAGATATGAGGGAGAAAGCTCATGTGGATTTCATTGGTAGTCTTATCAAGGAATAAGAGCAAAAGATCCCTTCTCTCCATCCCCATTCAGGCTAGGATTGACAGATAAGTAAATGGAGGATCTTTTTCTAGAATGACCACAAAGCTCCCATCTCCTTAGCCTTATCTCTTAAGGCCTCACTACCTCTTTATGCATACTCTTCTTTTTTAAAAAAAAATTTGATATTTATTTTTTAGTTTTTGGCAGACACAACATCTTTGTTTGTATGTGGTGCTGAGGATCGAACCTGGGCCGCACGCCTGCCAGTCGAGCGGGCTACCGCTTGAGTCACATCCCCAGCCCTATATACTCTTCTTAACCTATAAACAACTGTTGCACCACAGAGGGTCTGGACCCTGGGACAAAGCTGCTGTATGTGGGATGTTATTGCAATCATGGGGCTCAAATGGCAATAGTATAAGTATAAGCAAAATAGAATAAATTAAAAGGCTAAATTGGAAAAGTTTTGGAAAGTGTTTAGGTTAGGTCTATGGCAAGAAAATCCAAGGCAAGAAAACTTATCTTTGTTTTTTAGTACTGGGCATTGAACTCGGGGGTGCTTAACCACTGAGCCACATTCCCAGCTGTCTCTTTAATTTTTTTTTTTTTTTTTTAAATTTTGAGATAGGGTCTCACTAAGTTGCTGAGGCTGGCTTGAAATTTGTGATCCTCCTGAGCCACTGGGATTACAGTCTTTCTTTTGGGGGCAGGGGCAGCGTTTAATACTTATCCTACCATCTGTAGGGCCTGGGGCTAGAGTACCAAGGGAGACCCATGTACCATGTACCTAAATATGTAAATGTGTTACGTCATGCTGACATGTGGTATGTTCATGCCTCTTCTCGTCCTAATGACTCCATTCAGTGGCAAGGAGCCACGTGGGTACATGGCTACAGTCAAGCCCCATGCACAAACCCCAGGCTCTGGGATGAGTAACTCCTTTTGAATGACCATGACCACCTCATCTTCCCTGAGTTTGTTAGCTTTCTGTTACTACAAAATCAAGTTGCCATAAAAAGCTTCCAAAGAGAAAAGGGTTATTTTCGCTCACAGACTGTGGTCCATTGGCTGCATTGCTTTAGGGACTGGTTCAAGGCAGCACATCAAAGACAACTCATGGTAGAGCAAGCTACTCATCTCATGGCAGCTGGAAAGTAAAAGAGAAGAAAAGAAAGGGGCAGCACCCTCTGATCCTCCTTGGGCCTTGTGCATTTGAGGTAAGTACTCTATCAACTGAGCTATATCCCCTTCCCCCACACTTGGACTTTTAAGGTATGCTCAAGATCCAAACTATAGCACTCCCTAACCAGGCTTGAGGGTGTTTACATCTGGAATTCTAGGTTCTTTCAACCTACTGTGTTTTAGAAGGTAGAGAGGGCAAGTCTCCTTTGCCCATCAGAAACTTAACCACCTAGGGTGCAATGTGGCTACAGGACAGCCAAGCTGGTTGCTCAGGGCAGAATTCCTTCTTGCCTGGGTATACGAGGTATAATAAATACAATTTCTTTCCCTGAGGTTTTATTTTGTCATTGAGTTCTCCTGATATGACTTAGTTTTCTAGAACACTGGCTTTCAAAGAATGTGTGGACAAGGCTTCTTACCTGGCTTCCTGTAGTACTAACTGCATCAGTACTTGGCAGGCCAAGGGGCTCTGAGATAGTTCCTGTTGACCAAACTCATTCTTATCAGGTATGGGACCTCTGTGAGACGCCCCAGCCCAGGGGTGTTCTCTGGTCCTATCCAGTTTTCTTTACCAGATAAAGCAAATTGATTGATTGATAAAGGTAGAATACAGTTTTCAAAACACATTTAAGATGGAAGCATACTAATTTTCTGATGGCTTCTAAGGGGAAAAGTTTGGCATACGTTATTTAGACGAAATCTAAGCCACTTTAGGAGTTAAGTTTAGGTATTTAGAGTGGAGGAGGAAGCAGATTGATGCATTGTCTGGTCTCCTTCCCCAAAGTGACATTCAGATTTGTTTTGGAAGAAGTGGAAGGATGGAGGATTTGGGGCCTAGTTCAAGAACATTGTGAGGGCGATACACTCAGGGGCATGTCCCACCTGGGGATTTAACATACATGGCTCTACTCTTTACCTTGCTTGTGTATTGGGAAGCACCTCAATACGTTTGGACTCCTTTCTACCTCTGTGAAAAAAGGGTCAGTTTTTCTGCCTTAATTTTTTTCTTGTAAACTTTGAGCCTCTCTGGGAGAGAACCCTTGAGCAATTCAACTGTGGTATGGGAGACCCAGCAGAGGGGGGGAGGGGGGGCGGGATTTTGTCTCAGTTATTCTCTTTAAAGAGACAAATTATCACTTCTCGGATGATTGCATAGAGCGGTCCTCAAATGACATGTGGAGCTGCAAGATTTTAAGAGATGCATTTAACTAACTAAATTCAGTTCCACCTCCCTGAAAACTATTTGATTCATGATTAACCAGCTTGGAGGCGATGATGGAGGTGATAAGGGAGGGTCTTGACAGGTTTCAAGGCTTTGGTAAATTCTGAAGAAATCATTTCCTTAGTGTAGATATGATCTCAAAGACACCTTTCCTTACAGTGGGAGCATGAACCCGAGTTGACTACTGTGAATTCTACCTGAAATAGCTGTCATTTCCTTGAACCCGTTCAGCAACAGGTACTATACTGTTTTTCACGCAGCTTTGGAAGATAAACAGGATACCCCAGACAAAACACTTTGCATTGCCCCTACCTCGACCACCCACATTAGGCCATGAATCCCTCCCCTTTAGTTGGTCTGGCACAATAAGGGTCTCAATATTTGGCAAATGAGTGAATGAGTGCCTGCCTTTCCCTTTCTTTTGTTTAACCAATGTCTCATTCTAAGCTCCTGCAATGACACTCAGAACTCCGAATTCTGCCAGTTTCATTAGGGTGCGGATGTAAGAGTGGGTGTAAGGGGAAGTGGGTGAAGAACCAGACGGGAAACCAGCGGATCCCACAGAGGAAAAAAAAAGAAAGAAAAGAAAAGAAATCCTTAGAGACGTGGGGCCAACAAAGAGGCAGACGCAAGCGAATCTAATCACTAGAACCCGGAGCTCCAAATCAGCAGCGAGGACGGGTCCCCGTGCGCCTCCCGGCTGTCCACATCGCTGGCCGCTCCTGACCGGGTGCCCCCAGCCCAGCACCCGGGGCTAGCCCGTGGCTCCCGCCCCCGGGGCGGTGCCGGGAACACGCGGCGCCTCCGCCGGTCACGTGGGGGCCGCTCCGCCGGGCGGCGCTGCCGCTTCCCGATCGCGCCCTCCCAGCGCCGGGGACGCGGCGCTCGCGCTCCCGCCCGAGCCCCAGGGAAGCGGAGACAAGGAGGCGCCGCCGCCCCCTCCTCGCGGCTGCTCCCCGGCCCTGCGCCCGCAGCATGCCCGCCGCGGAGCGGAGTGCCGCCCTCCTCCCGGAGCTCGTGGAGGCGACGACGCTGCCGGCCGCGGGGCCGCGGCTGCAAGGGTAGCGGGGCCGGAGTTGGGCACCCGGGCGCCGCAAGGCGGGCGGAGCGGGAGGAGAAGCAGGCATCCTCCGCGGCGTGGCGGGCGGCGGCCCTGCTGCCCGGCGCGCCCATGGCCCTGGAGGACGGAGAATGCGATCTGCACTCCGCGCCGGCCTCCGCCTCCCCCCGCGCCGCGTGCTCGGCGCCCCCCAGAGCTGCTCCGGTCGCCGCCGCCCCTCAGCTGCGGGCGCCGAGCCGCTAGCTGCGCTAGGACCCATAGCCGCTGGCCGCCGAGGGGCGGAGGCAAGGGAGGAGTGGGAGCGAGAGGGCCCGGGAGACGGGCGMCGGCCCGGGTGCAGCACGGCATGCAGCTGCGGGCTCCCGCGCCCGCGTGAGGGTGTCGGTCCCGGGCCCCGCCATGGCTGGGAAGGACAGTGGCAACCTGAAGACGGTGAGGTTGTGGCGGGACGCCGCCCTTCGCGCCAGGAAGCTGAGGAGCAACCTGCGACACCTAACCCTTAGCGCGGCTGGGGGCTGCCCCGGGGCCGGAGCCGGAGCGGATCCGCTCGAGTCCCCCGACGCTCCCCAGCTAGTGCTGCCAGCCAACATCGGGGACATCGAGGTGCTGAACCTGGGGAACAACGGCCTGGAGGAGGTGCCTGAAGGGCTGGGGTCGGCGCTTGGCAGCCTGCGCGTCCTGGTCCTGCGCAGGAACCGCTTTGCCCGGCTGCCCCCTGCGGTGGCCGAGCTTGGCCACCATCTCACGGAACTGGACTTGAGCCACAATCGGCTGACAGCCCTGGGCGCGGAGGTGGTGAGTGCCCTAAGGGAGCTGCGCAAGCTAAACCTCAGCCATAACCAGCTGCCTGCTCTGCCCTCCCAGCTGGGCGTCCTTGCCCACCTGGAGGAGCTGGATGTTAGCTTCAACCGACTGGCGCACCTGCCCGACTCACTCTCTTGCCTCTACCGCCTGCGCACCCTCGATGTGGACCACAACCAGCTCACTGCCTTTCCCCGGCAGCTGCTGCAACTGGCGGCCCTGGAGGAACTGGACGTGTCCAGCAACCGGCTGAAAGGCCTACCTGATGATATCAGTGCCCTGTGTGCCCTCAAGATCCTCTGGCTGAGTGGGGCCGAGCTTGGCACTCTGCCCATCGGCTTCTGCGAGCTAACCAGTTTGGAGAGCCTCATGCTAGACAACAACGGGCTGCAGGATCTGCCCACCCAGTTCAGCCAGCTGCAAAGACTCAAAATGCTCAATCTCTCTTCCAACCACTTTGAGGAGTTCCCTGCAGCTCTGCTGCCCCTGGCTGGTCTGGAGGAGCTTTACCTTAGTCGCAATCAGCTCACCTCAGTGCCATCCCTTATCTCGGGGCTGGGAAGGCTTCTCACTCTGTGGCTGGATAATAACCGCATCCGATACCTGCCCGACTCCATTGTGGAACTGACCGGCCTGGAGGAGCTGGTGCTGCAAGGGAACCAGATCGCGGTGCTTCCTGACAACTTTGGCCAGCTCTCCCGTGTGGGATTGTGGAAGATCAAGGACAACCCACTGATACAGCCCCCTTACGAGGTCTGCATGAAGGGGATCCCCTACATCGCGGCCTACCAGAAGGAGCTGGCTCATTCCCAGCCAGCCGTGCAGCCCCGTCTCAAGCTGCTCCTGATGGGGCATAAGGCTGCAGGAAAGACCTTGCTGCGACACTGCCTCACCGAGGAGATAGTGGAGGGAAGCCATGCAGGAGGGGACAAACAGAAGAACTACTCACCTTCCCCTCCTGCCAGTAGCAAGGGTATTGAGGTGACCAGCTGGACAGCTGATGCCTCCAGGGGTCTGAGGTTCATCGTGTATGATTTAGCTGGTGATGAAAGCTATGAGGTGATCCAGCCCTTCTTCCTCTCTCCAGGAGCCCTGTATGTGCTGGTAGTCAACTTGGCCACCTATGAACCACGCTGCTTTCCCAGTACTGTGGGCTCCTTCTTGCATCGAGTGGGGGCCCGGGTACCTCATGCTGTGGTGTGCATTGTGGGCACGCATGCAGACCTATGTGAGGAGCGGGAGCTGGAGGAGAAGTGTCTGGATATTCACCGCCAGATCGCCCTGCAGGAGAAGCACGATGCCGAGGGCCTGAGCCGTCTAGCCCAGGTGGTGGATGAGGCCTTGGCCCGGGACTTCGAGCTGCGCTCTGCCAGCCCCCATGCAGCCTACTATGGTGTTTCTGACAAGAACCTTCGGCGACGCAAGGCCCATTTCCAATACCTGCTCAACCACCGGCTGCAGATCCTCTCTCCGGTATTGCCTGTTAGCTGCAGGGACCCCCGCCAATTGCAGCGCCTTCGGGACAAGCTGCTTTCTGTAGCTGAGCACCGAGAAATCTTCCCCAACTTACATAGAGTCCTGCCGCGATCCTGGCAGGTGCTGGAGGAACTGCATTTCCAACCACCACAGGCACAACGACTTTGGCTAAGCTGGTGGGACTCTGCACGCCTGGGCCTGCAGGCAGGGCTGACCGAGGACCGACTGCAGAGTGCTCTTTCCTACTTGCATGAGAGTGGCAAGCTGCTCTACTTTGAGGATAGCCCGGCCCTCAAGGAGCACGTCTTCCACAACCTCACCCGCCTCATTGACATCCTCAATGTCTTTTTCCAGAGGGATGCTTCCTTGCTGCTGCATAAACTGCTACTAGGGACCAGTGGAGAGAGTGAGGGGGAGGGGGAAAGCTCCCCAGTGATGTCGCTGCCCACCCAGAGCCAGGACCTGCTCCGGGCCACCCAGCTCCATCACTATGTGGAGGGCTTTCTGCTGCATGGGCTCCTGCCAGCCCATGTCATTCGGTTGCTGCTTAAGCCTCATATCCAGGCTCAGCAGGACTTGCAGCTGCTGCTAGAGCTGCTGGAGAAGATGGGACTCTGTTACTGCCTCAATAAACCCAAGGGCAAGCCTTTGAATGGGTCCACAGCTTGGTACAAGTTCCCATGCTATGTGCAGAACGAGGTGCCCCATGCAGAGGCATGGATTAATGGGACCAACCTAGCGGGGCAGTCTTTTGTGGCTGAGCAGCTGCAGATTGAGTATAGTTTTCCCTTTACCTTTCCACCTGGGTTGTTTGCACGCTACAGTGTCCAGATCAACAGCCATGTGGTGCACAGGTCAGATGGTAAATTTCAGATCTTTGCATATAGAGGAAAAGTTCCTGTGGTGGTGAGTTACAGACCTGCCAAGGGGGTCCTGCAGCCAGATACCCTGTCCATTGCCAGCCATGCATCATTACCAAATATATGGACCGCGTGGCAAGCCATCACCCCCTTGGTAGAGGAACTGAATGTCCTACTTCAGGAATGGCCTGGACTGCACTACACCGTGCACATCCTCTGTTCTAAGTGCCTTAAGAGGGGGTCGCCCAATCCACACGCTTTCCCAGGTAAGTGGAGAGAAGGTCACAGTTCTGTGGTGTGTTGCAAGTTGCATTGGTGGGATATTTGTTGCTAATTTGGCAGAATGTTTACTTAACCTCACAGGTTCCTTAGGGAAGCTTTGCAGGGTAAATATTGGGAGTTTTGGGGACAAGCAAAGGGCACTGAGTACCTGAGAAACATGAAATACCTTCACAAGTGTCATCTTCTCCTAACATTTCCCATCTCCTTTCCCCTCCTCTTAATTTAGCCACATTTTGTGGAAGGAAATTTCAGGTGGTTGAACAGAAGCTGGGACTAGAGTGACATTAGTCACTTGCCAAGCCTTGACTGTCAGGCAAATTAGACAGAGGGAGGAGTCTGGATTGGGTCTACGGTCCTTTTCTTTTGTTTAAATCCAAAGTGCAGTCTTCAAGTCACAGTGATGGCTCACTCTTCTTAAGAAATTTCAAAGAAGAATGTTCTGTAATTGGGGGCGAATGGTGGATGAGTAAAGACAAACATTTCAGACTGCCATGCATGACTAAATCCTGAGATTGCTGTTTCACCCCACACACTCTGGGGCATGAAAAAGATTGCTGAAATCTCTGAGGGGAGTTTCCTTGGGTATTTCCTGGCAATTTTGAGCTTTATAGACATACAGTTTGTTTCTTGGTACATGTTAAGAGATGGAGTGCTCTGGCAGAAATGGAAGGGACAAAAAGCTGACAAGAATCCTCTAGGGAGGTTTTCCAACAGACTTTTCTTTTTTTTCTTTTTGAAACCATCATAGGCGAGTGGGAGAATTTCATGACTAGTTGTCTGGGGTTTATTTTCTTTGTCAGATTTTATTTCCTTTTTTTTTTTTTCCAGAGCAATTTTAGATTTATAGTAAAACTGAACAGAAGGAATGGAGATGTTCCATTTCGCCCTGCCCCCAGGCGTGCACAGCCTCCCACCCCATCATCAGCACCTTGTACCAGGATGGTACATTGGTTCCAATCCATGAACCTGCACTGACACGTCATTATCACCCAAAGTTCCCAGTTGACCTTAGAGTTCACTCTTTGTGTTGTACATTCTGTGAGTTTGGCCAAATGTAGAATGACATGTGTCTGCCATTGTTTTGTCATAAAGAAGATTTTCACTGTCCTGAAGAGCCTCTCCACTGGTTTATCTACCTCCCTTGCCCTCCCAGTCTCGCCAACCTCTGATCATTTTATTGTCTCCATAATTTTGCCTTTTCCTTCTCTGGGATTTTTTTTTTTTTTTTTTGAGATTTGTTAATTAATCTCAAACAAGTGTTTAGCTGGGAATGTGTCTGTTTCTCATTTTTTGGGGGGTTCTTAAACTCATTTTGTGGAACAAGCTTGGTGAACAGCATTATGAGAGTCCTAGGCATAAACCATATGGCAATTGTGTCATTGCCAGTGGCTTACCTTGGTCCCCTGTCCCCTGGGCACTTTGAGGGGTGATAAAATGGAAGACTACACACCACTCTGACCTTTGTCCCGGTCAGAGTGCCAACAAAAATACAGTTCCTAATAGTATCAGGAAGGAATCGGATACCAATATTTCCGAAGGTAACATCTTTCCGTTGCCCTAGATCTAGGCTGAGTTTAATTCGTTTTGAAAAAAGCCACTATATTGGGTTACCAGTCAACTGAGCCTTTCATTCTGTACCACTGTCTGGCATCTTGTCACAGTTCATGACTTGGTGGACTCTTCAGTTTGTTTTGTATTTACCATTGTAACTTATCCATGGAAGTAAAATACTTCCTTGTGTGTTGCTAACTTGCATAAAGTGGTTGAGAGTTACATTGTCACAGAGTAGCTTATTGAAGGTGCTACCTAAGACCAGTTTGTAATCCAGAGATGAAGCATTAATAAAACCAATGTTGTTAACAACAAAGGGAAAGACATGGGTTATTGAACAAGTAAGGATCTGTACAGAGGAATTCCAAGGCCTTTGAGAAGTAAACAGTGAGGCTGTTTTATCCCCCCAAACCTTCGCTCTTTATCTTTTAACAATCATAAATTCTACAGACAAGTTGTACTAAGATGCAGAACAAGCCCATTCTCTTTATTTTTTTGTCCTGTCAGCCATTCACCTGAGGTACACCTGGTTGGCAGGCCAGGCTACAAGGAAGTGATTAATTTTTCAACTTGCAAAACAGAAACAAAAATTTTTGGTTGAAAAACTGTTAAATCTTATGTATTGATTAGGACTGAATCATTGGTCATTTTCAGAATTTTTATTTCATATTTATAATCAGAAATGTCATCTTTTTGATTTGTTTATGATGGTATTTTTTCCCCCAAAGTATCAAAGGGCTCAGAATAGTGGGGCATGTGATTTAAGTACCTTTTTTATTAAATTATGAAGACAAAGAAAAAACCACATCTTCCTCTTTTATGTTTTTCTGTGATTGTCATGATTTGTTACTAATTATCACAATTTTAAAAGATTTGGTAGGAGCTAAAATAATAAAAGTTAGAAGGTGATGTGGGAACAATTATAATGTTTGTTCAGTTAGGGTATGCATTAAAAATGCACTCATTAAACCACTATGTTAAAACAATTCAAGAGAATCCCTTAAATCTAGTTGTAGCCTTTTGTTGTTTTAAAAAAGTCATTTTACTATTTAGGAATATAAAAATTGGTTATTTAGTTTTATATTTACTTACAAGTATCAAGTCCTGTAAATTATAACAATATTATATACAGTAGTTAAAAAAAAAACAAAACTGGATTTTTAGTTTGTTTTTTAACTTTGGGACACTGCAGGAAGAATATATAACAAGTTACTGTCTTCCTTGATATTATCCAGAAGAAACACAAAGTTGCATTACTATCTTTTAAAATGTTTTTATGCAAGAAGCCAGTTTGGCCCTGTCCTCTTAAATTTTCTGGCCTGAACTGCATTAATGTAGTTGGCTGATGTAAGTATAATACTAGATTTCTCTTTTCTTGTTTTAGTTTTGGAAATGTAAATGTTTTGGAAACTACTCAGTCTGCAACCATTGGTTAAAAGCTCTTATAAAAAAAAAAAAAGATCTAATCAAGCTGTCAGAGAGATTTTTTGTCTTGTTTAAGACAGTTGGGCTGAGCCCCAGGAGAATGCTTTCTCAGGGACCCACTACTGTCTGCCTCCTTAGAGGCTTCCTTTCCTTGTGCTCTTGGCCTGCTGGTCATTTGGTTCTGTGTTCCGATCTGAGAGCATGCTTCTCTGTGTGGAATAGTTATATATTTTTCTAGTCTATCAATATGATACTTAAGCCAGAAAAGTCCAGTACTACTGTGGATGTATTGACTAAGACTTGGTGGCTGGAACATTGGCCTGCAGCAAGATTAGACTGCTTGGATATTCCATTTCAAYGACTGAATGAACGCTGTGTGTTCTTCAATTGGAAGAGTGTGTCTTAGTCCAACTTGGCACTGAATGTGCATTTTCACCCCAAATCCTACCTCCCGAATCATTAAAGGTCATTTTTAAGAATAATGAGAAAGCAAATCCAAATCAGTAAACCCAGTTAGTCGTATGGCGTTCTTTAACTACCTTGTCTTTCATTCACTCAATGACAACATGAAGAGCTTTCTATACCTCCCGCCAGGTATCGGTTGCCCCCTCTTCAGTCCCTTGCACCTGGTGTGTACCTGTCTGATGACGCTCAGTGTATTTTGCCTTATTCCACTGGCGTAGGAGTAAGTCATAACATCTCTTTGGTGGGATGGCTCACTTGCCTCTTCCAAGCAGGGAGGCACACACACACAAACACACACACCTGAGGCTTTGTCATCTCTGGGAGAGTCCCTCTGATGTTCCCTGAATCATTGTTTGGTTTTTTGTGAGAAATACCTTTTCTTCTTTGTCATTCTCATACTCTGTCAAGTTTCCAGGTAGTAATGTGATGATGATCTGGCCCCTCGGGGCTCCCCCCACCTCCAAATGTTCTTCCAGCCTCCCCTTTGTGTCTGTGTTGCTGGTCTTGCCCTTGAATGGGTCCTTCATTTTGACCACTGAAGCAAAGCGAAATTCTTGCCTTATTATATCTAAGTTTTAGAATTACTGGAATTTGAGCATGACCCAGTTGTTTGGATTGAATTAGTCATTGTTTTTAATTTTACAAAGGTTATTCAATATCTTTTTAGTTTTAGCTTTATTAATATTGATGCTCCTTGGCTTTTATTTTATTTTATTATTATTTTTTTTGAACAGGCTGCTTTGAACTCCTGGGGACTTTGTTTCGTATAAAAATAAAAAATGCAGTGGAAAATAAAAAATAAAAAAATAAAAAATGCAGTGGAAGAAGAACCGTGTGGAATTAAACGCAAAGACGGGAAAGGTCTCGGGGCTGTTCAAATGAGTTTAACTATTAGATGACTTCTTTCAGTTCCAGGGCAGAATCGCAAGTCCATCTCTGCACAAGTGGTTTAGAACTTTCCAGAGAAAGTGATTTTTATTTGTTAATAGGCATCTTACGTCTCAGTCTGCTGCCTGTTCCTTCCTCTTACTCCCCAGTAGACCTTGCCTGTTTTGGTTTTTGCTCATCTATTTCATCAAATACACTTTTACAGGGTGTGCTTCATAGAGCTGTTTGGGGGGTTGGGTAAGGGAATGGTTTAGGAAAACAGTCTTACCCGTGTCCGGGAAGAAATGTGGGGTTTCACAGAAAGGATGGATTGGACACATCTGGTTGTTTTCTCCATCAACTCCTTAACCGGCTTCTCTCCATTGGAGCCTATTTTGATTAAGGACCATAATCAGATCCATAGGGTGCCTTTTGCTTTAGCTTTTGAAAACCAGAGGCAAAAGCTGGCCTCCCTTGTCTCCTGCAGCCTCAGTGCTCTTGTGTCCAGGCAGTGGAGAGCTGCTTCACGTCCCCAGTCTCTGTGGAAAGTACATCAGATGGGGTCTGCCTAGGGCAGGGCCAGCCTAGCCTCAGATCTCCCAGGATCCACGTATCTGGTTACAAAACCAGTTGCTGGTGGTTGTCAGGTTCTCTTCTTCAGGGACTGGCAACCTTC